CTTGGTTTCTTTGAACACTTCGTCGCGGTGAGCGGACAGTCCGTCAACCGTCGCGTTTTGACGATTTTATCCAACCAGAGTATTTAAATGGGAATGGTTTTCTTGAATCCGCTTAGCTGAGCAGGACGGCGTCATGCCGCTGATTTGTCGCGAAGAGTCGGTTGATATCTGTTGAGTTTGATATCAGCGGAATCGTCGGCGTGTGCGGAGACTATATTGTTATTAATTTTAAAACAATGAGTGACAAATTCACACATACAGATGACATCATGACTTTATTTTTAGATTTCTTGGATTATGTCCTTTATAAAACTCAACACGAATTCAAAAAGATCTGTAGAAAGTCTAAAATACTCCCTAAATTTGGTTTCATTTCCAAAAAAACCTCCGCAGCACAATGATATTAAAGGCACCTTCTATATCGCGACACAAAAACAACTCATCCACTGGCTTATTGGAAACTTTGACGGTTGCAATTGCCAGTTCCTATTGTTCTTCCTCTTCCAACAATAATAACAACGTAAACAATTTATTTGCATCCATTTTAGTACCTTTCGTTTACATTCATAATACATAAACAGCACGTACAGACCTAGAGAAAGTATAATTTTCTATATTTTTTAACAAACCACCTCGGGCGAAAATTGCTGTCCTCAGCGGTCGACGGACTGTCCGCTCACCGCTACGAAGTGTTCAAAGAAACCAAGGCTTAAAGGATTTCAATATTTGGGGATAATACAATTACGAATACGAATAATAATCCTTTTTTCAGTTGACAATAAAATGAAAATGTTTCTTCTAAAACAGTGTAAATGGGCCAGAACAATTTACTATTACAATCAAATATATGCATTTATAGGACATAGACATGCAAAAGTATCAAAATAAGTTTACTTACAGTAAATTATTACTAAATTTATGCCTAAAACTGTATTAAATAAAAGTAAAACTCAGAATTGTTTACTTGTATAAATGAGAATTAGTTTGAGAGTACAAGCATTGTATTTAGAGAAGATCTAAATACAATGGTACAAGCATTAGACAATGGTACAAGCCATTTTTGCCCAAAATCTGGACATAAAATGGCCGAACTATAGTTAGTTCTACTAAAGGCGCCATCTATTGATAAATTGTAAAAACAAGGACTATACTAAAACAGTTTTCTGTTAATGACTACTATATGTTTGTAATTTCGCCAATAGATGGCGAAACCAGTATAGAAATTTAATAAACTCTCCATGTCCACATTTTAATCAAAAAATGACTGAGAGTAAATTTTTTTCGACTATGAGATCCACAAAGCACATAGAGGTTCCACGTGAATGACCAAGGTCAAAACCGACAATTGACATTTTTTATGCTATTTGCTCCAAACTCTAGATGGGGCTACTGGTAAAATTCTGATTTCTTACTCCATTTTTAAGCTTTATGGGAGAAAAACAACCAAAGACTCCAAAGATGTGACGTGTATTTATTTATGTTTTTGGTTAATCTCATTTTTCCGTCTGATTTTAGTGATTTTTTGTTGGCTTTGGCTTTTGGTTTCTGTTTATAGTTTCGTCTTAGTTATAACCTACTGTGTTTTGCAATAATTTTGGTGCTACCTGTGGGTGCTACGTTGAAAACTTCGAGAAAAACTTCATTGATTCACCATGCATCTGCATCATAAAAAGAAACGGGTATAACAACTAATTGATAATCAATTTATCACTGGACTAGATTCCGAAATCATTTTTCACATAAGAGAGTAATACACAAAGCAGTGGAGTAATACCACCATCTGTATTTGGAAGGAAAATACCTATTTATCATTGAATGAATAGTTAAAAGGATTCACCTTTTAATACAATACCTATATTACATTTGTCCTCGGTTTAAAAGACATTTATAAAATATATTATTTTAGTGTTAATAAAATGTAATATCCTAGTCTCTACTTCACATTTAAATTATTGATAGGTATTTTAAAGATTTGAGATTATATACCTATTTGCTGCAAGTAAGTATTCGTTAAATATGTATTATTATTTGTATTTATTTTTATCTAATAATATTATTTAAGTTATTAATAAACATATTTTAAGAATGTTCTATTTTATTGTTTATTGATATATCTTATATTTATTTAATAATAATATGCAGAACCAACTCTTCACATCAGACCCCTGCTTATAACAAATTAATTCCTCAAATTTGGTATAATCGACCTAAATTATTTTGTAAAATAAAAGTTTCGAACTTACTAGTTCCATTCTTTATTTTATAAAATAATTTATGTGGAAATCATTTAAAATTTAAATTAAAACTACTACCTACTCCTAAAAATTACAATTTGAATTTACCGCCATCTGTCAATTGTCATTTTAGTTCCAGCTCCAAACACAAGGTGGCGCCAATTTGGTTTAAAAGTTTAACATTGGCGTGGGGTCTCTAGAAGATACGTGCTTTGTGATGAGATCCGAAATCGACGAAAAGAGGACTTTTGAAAAAAAATTTGAAATTTGGAAAAAAAAAAATTGATTTTATTGCGTAGGTCGATAGAGCTCCCTACGTACTTCATTTTAGGGTCTGCCCGTGGACCTCTGGGTCATTTTGCTCTATCGCTTACCGTTTCCGAGATATTCGCGTTTGAAGTTTTGAACTTGAATATTTCCTAAACTGCTCAAGATAGAGACGAAAGGGAAACAGCATCCTAATGTATCTGCCCTGCTCTACATCTGTGCTAATTTACAAAGTAATTGAATAATTAGTTACTGAGAAAAACGAAGAAAACATTAAACGGTTAAAGAAACGAAGCAACCGAGTCCACCCTGTATAATTTGTCATGCTTTCTTTTATATGTACCCAAATTTGCATTAAAATCTGAGGGAAAAAAAAATTTGACCAAAAATTTTTGAAGGCTATACCCTTTCGATTTTTCGTGAAAAATTCATGGTCTCCGATTGAGTTGAAAATCGGACAGTGGACAGTATGCGCTCTAAAACGTTAAGAAAAATAGTCCTTTTCTCAATAACTTAAATAGTCAAAAACTAGAGGCTTGTTGTGTGTTAATTAGCAAACTTAGAGAACTGCAACTGACTCTCTTCAAACGTACTTGTCTTCTACTTACTGCATACAACGTTTCGTCCAAATCGGAGCAACTTTTTCCAACTTCTGAACGAAGAGAGATATTGAGTAACAGACACCACTCCGACATTATGTTTTACATCCTGATTTTCTGTACCAAATTTGAGTGAAATCGGAGACAAAAAAAAATTATGGATAAAAAATGGCCGTGCTCTAGTTAGTTGTACTGATGGCGCCATCTACTGACAAATTGTGAAAACAAGGAAGATATTAAAATAGTATTCTACTATTAACTGCCCCTTGTTTGTTAATTGGTCCATAGATGGCGAGACCAGTTTAAAAAGGTATTGGTTTCGCCATGTTCTGTCCACATTTTAGATAAAAAATAAATTTTTTTTTCGACTATGAAAACTGAAATCGACGAAAAGTGGAGTTTTGAAAAAAATTTTAAAATTCGAAAAAAAAAATTGTTTTTATTGCCTAGGTCGATAGAGCTCCCTACGTACTTCATTTTAGGGTCTGCCCGTGGACCTCTGGGTCATTTTGCTCTATCTCTTACCGTTTCCGAGATATTCGCGTTTGAAGTTTTGAACTTGAATATTTCCTAAACTGCTGGAGATAGAGACGAAAGGAAAACAGCACCCTGATGTATCTGTCCTGCTCTACATTTGTGTAAATTTACAAGGTAATTGAATAATTAGTTACTGAGAAAAACGAAAAAAATATTAAACGGTTATATTAACGAAGCAACCGAGTCCACCCTGTAATTTGACATGCTTTCTTTTATATGTACCAAAATTTGCATTAAATTCTGAGGAAAAAAAAATTTGACCAAAAATTTTTGAAGGCTATATACCCTTTCGATTTTTCGTGAAAAATTCATGGTATCCGATTGAGTTGAAAATCGGACAGTGGACAGTATGAGCTCTAAAACGTTAAGAAAAATAGCCCTTTTCTCAATAACTCAAATAGTCAAAAAGTAGAGGCTAGTTGTGTGATAATTAGCAAACTTAGAGAACTGCAACTGACTCTCTTCAAACGTACTTGTCTTCTACTTACTGCATACAACGTTTCGTCCAAATTGGAGCATCTTTTTCCAACTTCTGAACGAGGAGAGATATAGAGCAACAGACACCACTCCGACATTACGTTTTACATCCTGATTTTCTGTATCAAATTTCAGTGAAATCGGAGACAAAAAAAAATTATGGATAAAAAATGGCCGTACTCTAGTTAGTTGTACTGATGGCGCCATCTACTGACAAATTGTGAAAACAAGGAAGATATCAAAATAGTATTCTACTATTAACTGCTCCTTGTTTGTTAATTCGTCCATAGATGGCGAGACCAGTTTAAAAAGGTATTGGTTTCGCCATGTTCTGTCCACATTTTAGATAAAAAATAAATTTTTTTCGACTATGAAATTTGAAATCGACGAAAAGTGGAGTTTTGAAAAAATGTTGAAAATTCGAAAAAAAAAATTGTTTTTATTGCGTAGGTCAATAGAGCTCCCTACGTACTTCATTTTAGGGTCTGCCCGTGGACCTCTGGGTCATTTTGCTCTATCTCTTACCGTTTCCGAGATATTCGCGTTTGAAGTTTTGAACTTGAATATTTCCTAAACTGCTCAAGATAGAGACGAAAGGGAAACAGCATCCTAATGTATCTGTCCTGCTCTACATCTGTGCTTATTTACAAAGTAATTGAATAATTAGTTACTGAGAAAAACGAAGAAAATATTAAACGGTTATAGATAAAAAGCAACCGAGTCCACCCTGTAATTTATCATGCTTTCTTTTATATGCTGTATAAAATGCTAAATAAAACAATAATATGGGTTTTGAGAAATTTATTTATTTATAATAGTACTGTTATTTCTGAATTGTATAAATACATAATAACAAATTGTATGCTGTGTCATTCATTATCAATAGTTCGCTGTTGAATAAAGAAAAATTAAAAAAAGAAATTAAGTAAAATAATGTACATCTATGAATATTAAATGCCATGTGATTTTAAAATATTTTCCAACTAACAAAAAATGCACATTGGTAAAGCGTTATACAAAAGCGGTATATGAACAACAATGGGTGCTTCAAGGCACTATATTCAGCACATAATAAAAAATCGGATCTGCGGATCTTCCTTATTTTTTTCATTTTTTAACTAAAATATTTTAAATTAAAAATAACTGATATTGGAGCGGATATTGTAAATAGTTTCGATTTATTTTAGTTTGCGAAATGTTTATCTAAATTTTAACTAAATATTACTAGTTATATTGAATTTGGATCTGGAAACACTGGAACATTGAAATATTTAAATATTGAGCTAAATAAAATAGTCCAAAATAAACTAAAGCTTAATATTTATATAAAATAAAAATAAAAATAAAAACGATATTATTTTTTTTTTTGGAAGATCGGAAGCCTTTTTAAAATAAATTATCGACATAATAATGGAGGTATGCATTTCATATACTCATATTTAAAAACAATAACACTGGTATTGTTATTCACTAGCTATTTTTCGTTAAATTAACAACAGAATTGTATAACACCCACATTCCTTAAAATACACCGATTGGATAAAAAACACAAAAAATTTATAACAAATAAATAGAATACTATTATCAGGTAAAATGGGAGACCGTTATATAAATTAATAAATACAGAGTGTATCACGATGAATATCGAATGTAAAATCTACCATATATGGCTGATTGAATTTCATATTGTATTTCTATATATGCCATTGAGAAAAACTCCACTAAGATGAAGTATCTCAACAACAGATACATGTACAAATAAAATTCAATATTTCTAAAAAATATTTCCCCTTCGGTATATCCGAGAAGTTTACTAAAATTTTGTCTCGACGATCGTCGTGAAATACCCTATATAATAATAGTACAGTATTACCAAAATACAACGCCTACCGCACCTAACGAAAATTTTTTATGTACAGTTTCAAAAAAAATTATTTAATATCTTAATTTCGAAAATTACTCTAAAACGTATTTAAAAATTACGAAAAAAACTCCTCTAAAATAAAAATTAAACAGTTTACTCCTTTAAATATTATATACACTTAGATTTAATTTGTTTAGAATTAAAAAGTTAGATGAAAGAGGGTTATATTTAGGATGTACTGCATGATATAACAAAACTATATAAACCTATGCTACAATTATGTACACATAAATACAAGTGTCGTCCCTATAGCGTTCATCTAGCGACTTATAATAATGAACAACTACGTAAGCATTATTGCACTGACTTTAAATGTTAAACCGCAAAGGTTCTCATAAAGTCGCTGAACATCCAAGGAAACCAGACGTGTGTAAAATCACATTTCTTCCTTTGTTCTTTATAAAAAATAGTGTATATGTAATACCAATATATCAATTTTCTGCTTGTTATGTATATGTATATATATAAATATTAATTTACACATTTTTAGATTATCTATGCAAAAAGGACAAAATCGTTTTAGTACATAAAAAATTATAACGAAGTCCATAATGCGTTTAGGCCGATAAGCTATTCACTGTTCCTCATCTTCGCAATCACTTTTGGATACTATCTGAAATAAGAAAATACCAAATGTTACTAAATTATTAAACTAAGATCATTTTATGATTACATTTATGTCACACTTATTTATTTATCAACAAGAATAATAATAAACAGTAGGTAATTAAATACAAGTGTTTGGAACATATTAAATGGTAATGCCTAGTCTACATAAAACCAAGTATATTATTTGTCTTATTCTTCTTGGAAGTACATTAAATCTTATCAAGTTAATTTTATATAAAAAAGTCAGAGCATTATCATATTTCTTCTGGTGTTAAGGAAAAATATTTTAAATTATTGTCTTAAGTTTGTAGTTCTAACAAGATTATAGTCTGGGTATACATCTGGGTATACAAAAGTTTTAGGAATGTAAAAAAGGTATAGGGGATGAATTCTTTACCCCAAAAGGATAGGAAGACGATCTACCTATTATAAAAATGACAGATAAAGAAATGAACATTGAACTAGACTGGCAAGATGATGAAGAATTAAAACTTAGCTCTATATACAATTTGGATCTTCAGGATATTAGTATCAGCTCTGAGGAAGATAACAAGGAGAAGGATGACATCAACAAAGCCAAACCTAAAACGAAGGAAAAAGAGTTCAAGAGCAGCTCCAATCAGCAGTAAAAAGTATAAGAGAATAATGAACGACATGAGGAAGGTTTTAAAGGAGAGATTAAAAAAAAACAAATATAAAGGTAAAAATAAAATAAATTATATTATGTAGAGGTAGAGTATGCTACAAACAATATATGAATGCTAGCTGGATGAATCAAAGTTGAAGGTACAAAAAATGTCTAGGGATTGATCAGGCACCAACGAAGCCCAAAACGGAAGATAAAGATACACAATGTTGAGGTTGAGAAAGAGGAAAGGGAACCTCTTTTAAGAATAATTGGAGATAATAAGGAGCTCAATGAAATAAAAAAAATAATTAATATGTTTTCGAGGGGTTGCTAAAGAAGATATTGATGAAAGAAATCGATAGAGGGAGAAACTATCAGAGAATCAGTTTTATTTCAGACCAGAAAAATCCACACTCCATGCATGCAGTGCGATAAGAAAGTTGCAGAAAGAGGCGACAGATGGCTAGCACAAATAACGCTAAACATAAGAAATGCTTTTAATATAGCCTTAGAAAAAATTATAAAGAAGGAAATATCGACCTACGTACCTGCGGGTCTGTACTGGGACCTACCCTTTGGAATATTTTGTACGATGGGGCAATACGAACCAACAGAAGAAAGAACAAAGAGCATAGGCTTTGCAGACGACCTGGCCATTTTGTTCAGAGGCGGCGATTAGGAGCAGCTGCAAAATTGGACGAAACTAGCGCTGATGCGCATCACCAGCTGTCTAACAAACCACAAGTTAGAAGTAACCCCAGAAAAGACAGGTTATAATCCTTAAAGGTCTCTGGAAAAAACCTGACATGGAAATGCCGAGATTCTCTTTAAAAGGAATTCAGTTGAAGCCTCAAAGAGAGGTAAAGTACCTGCGGTTTGTCCTAGATGATATAAACAGCTTCGTAGACGGAGACAGTAAGCGACATACAGAAATCTTTTTTATTACTAATTTTAATTCTTCATAAAAAATCGAGGATAGTCAAAAACCTAAAATACAACCACAGGATATCAAATATAAAACTACTTTGCTCTTCAGAAAAATTCAAATTATTTGATATACCTCGTATACTGTTGTAAAAATTTAATATCTATTGCGTGCAGACCATGTAGAACTTTTCATGAAGAATAATTTTATTCGTAAAATTAATAATAAAAAAGTTTTTTATGTTGTGAACAAAAAACTGAAAAATAAAAATTTTACATTTTTCCTTAAATCTTTCCATTACGGTCCATTTTAGAGAAATAATGCATAAAACAAAAATTATAGAGAATGATTATTTGAACGATTTTCTTTAAACATCAAATTTTGCACTTTTTTTTCAATTTTCTCGAATACGGACCATTTTAGGAAAATTTTGTATGGGACAAAAAATATAGAGAATAACAATGCTAGCAACTTTTACTTGAAGAATTTTCTTTTCCAAGTCTAAATAACAGATATATTCCATAAAGTAGAAAAATTACCCCCTATGAAGTACCCCCCCCCCCCCCCCAGATGTTTTGACTATGTCCAAAATTTAATTTGTTCATCACAAGATGAATTAAAGCGTAAATTTAAAATTTAATGTTTTTCATTTTAACCGTTTTTGAGTTATCTTCAAAATTCGAAATTTGCACTTTTTCTCAAATATCTCGAATACGGTCCATTCTAAGAAAATTTTGTAAAGAACAAAATTTATAGAGATCGATATCGCAAACAACTTTTAGTTTAACAATTGTCTTAAAAGTCAGAATTTTGCACATTTTGTCAAATTTCTCGAATACGGACCATTTCAGGAAAATTTGACATAGAACAAAAATTATAGATAATAATATTGTAAATAACTTTTATTTGAAGAATTTTCTTCTCCAAACGTAAATAACGAATATATTCCATAAAATATAAAAATGACCAATAATAAAGTACCCCCCCAAATGTTCCGACTCTGTCCAAAATCTAATCAATTCACCTCAGGTCGAAATAAAACTTAAGTTTAAAATTTAATGTTTTTTCCTTTATCCGTTTTTGAGTTTTCTTCAAAATTCGAAATTTACACATTTTCTCAAATATCTCGAATACGGTCCATTTTAGAGAAATTATGTATAGGATAAAAATTATAGAGAATTATGTTACAAACAACTTTTATTTGAACAATTTTTATAAAAAATTATTTTTTTACATTTTGTCAAATTTCTCGAATACGGACCATTTTAGGAAAATTTTGCATAAAACAAAAATTACAAGCAACTACAAGCAACTACTATTTGAAAAAAAATTCTACAAGCCTAAATAACAGATTTACTTCATAAAGTAGAAAAACGACCCCCTATAAAGTATCCCTCAAGATGTTTCGACTATGACCAAAAGTTAATCATTAAAAGTTTAAGTTTAAAATTTAGTGTTTTTCTCTGTATGCGTTCATGAGTTATCGATAGTATTTTTGTTAAAAAATGTACCAGATTTTATAAAATAGATTCTGTAAAATTTTCGAATGAAATGATGTGGTTTAGTTCATTAAAAAAAAAAAAGTTTTTTAGCAATCGAAAACAAAACAAGAAGCAAGATCTCAACAATATATTTTACATGCGTCAAATGATAACACGCTGAAAAATAAAAAGGTACTAAATTTTGCTTCGAGTGTACCAGATTCTTAGAAAATGTACTAGATTGGCAAGACTGATTATCGAATATACAGACATACATAACCAGGGAACATACAGGGAACACCAAAACACAAAAATTCTTCCTGAAAATGATTCCTATACTTTCCTTATCTGTTTACAAACAGGAACGTAAAAAATTTAAAACCGTCTTTTTATCGTGATGAAATTTATTAATTTATTCTTGAATTTCTTCACAAAGAAATTGAAAGATATAAAATGCACTCAAGACAAATTGAAAAAATCAATTGAAAAAGGGCATTGAGCAATTTAATGAGACATTTTGAATAGTGATAATAAAAACGGTTTATAATGAGGTAGAATTATTTCACAAATTTTTTCATGACGTAAATATAATCATAAATCAATTTTCTTAATAATATATCTAAAAAAAAATATAAGAAACTTCAAAGAGATAAAATATTCACCTGCAAACTATCATTTAATGTGCTCTGTTCTGAGGTACAATCCGTTATATTGTCATCGTCAACTGGCAGAGGACTGTGAAGGTTATGTTCTTCGTGCAGTCTTTCTCTAACTCTGTGAAGTTCCTTCCTTAGCCTATCTCTCTCCTCTTCTATTTGTTTTACTTCGCTCTAAAAACAACAAATATATCATTTTTATTTATTCTGTTTAGAAGAAACATAAAATCAAAAGTTTCAGTATTATCAATAGTTTTTAAGAATATATTGCATATTATAAGCCATATATATTTTATCATTTACAAATAATTATACAGATTATTGATAAGAATTAAAAAATCTGCTTAAATTTAAATAATTGCACTTATTTTTAATAAATAATCCAAGTTTATACTTGATTATAGATTTCGCAATTGTATAAAACTTTTTTGAGACACACTATATATTATTTAGTATATTTAGAACTTTAAACACTTACCAAAAGGGTTGTAAGCTGTGAATTAAGAGAGCTGGCAATTTCCCTAACCAAATTAGTAGGTATGGTAGGAACGGCGGTTTTGTGTTCATCGACATCTTGTTGACTAGCACAAGAGGGGTGTTTACCGCCCTTAGCTGCCATGGCGTCCAATTCGGAGATGTTCAATGAATCGTTCACAGCCTTCTGTAGTTGATTGACATGGAATATCGATGCTAACACTCGTTCGGAAGGATCTCTTCCGCGTAACGACGAATCCATCGAGGCCATATCGGCGATATGTTCGAAATGTTCGCGGGGTATGCTCAACATGTCCGCTACTAGGCCTTCTTTATCCTCCAGGGCTTGTTTTACCATGGCGTCTTTCCGGCGAATTTGTTCTATAAAGAATTATGATTATTTTATTAGGCTTTTAAACTTTATTCGCCGCCATATTAAGACAAACCAACAAACTTAACATTGATATAATATTTTGCGTTTTACTCGTATACTTTTCAAGTTACATAGATTCTTAGTTATGGGACACTTTAAATATAAAATATACAGAAAATTACCTTGAGAAAATTTTAAAATTCTTCATTTTTCATTGAATATTCAAAAAAATGGTTTCTATTGAAGTACATACAGTATGTCTGTCTTTAGACTGCACCTCCCAGTAGTTTGTTTATATATTATTGATTAAAAAAATGTTTTACCTCACTATATTGTACTTATATGAATATATAGTAGAGTAATTCATTTCCGCAGTTTTTTGGTGCTCAAGCAAAATATTAATCTACATATAGAAAGAAAAATTCTCACAAAGTTTAAGCTCTTAATATCAATTTTAAGTACTTACTATTTAAATTTAAAGTTTTACCATTTAAAATGCATGTAATTTTTTTTATTTATAATTCTTACCCACCTTTTTAGTCCAATTAAATAACGAAAAAAAGCCCCTTCGAGCTTACATTAATTTGTAATTGGATGAAACAAAAAGGATCTTGTGTATTTTGATGTGATCTTTCCGATCAAGAAAAAAAAGATGTAACAGTTTTTCAATTTTTTTTTAAATTAAGAAAAACTGGGTTTTCCGGAATTTTCCATTGTAAAAATGCTAACTATCTGGGCAAGTATCATTCCGGTAGTGAAAATAAATGCACCATTCGAAAGAGGAGACAAAAATAGTTCGGAAATTCATTGCACAGGTAGTTTTAATGGCGAATTTCTCGCCGCCAGAAGTGCTTTTACCAAAAAGTCGTTCTTTCGTTTTTTTGATCAGAACCATGGACATGAAATTCGCGATGAATTTGTGGCGAAATTATAAATGTTAGACATGTGTGCCCATGAGAGAAGTTGCGTATTTTTTTGTTGGCTCTCAAATAAAATAAGTCCCGCGGCGAAATCTGCCATAATTTTTCGAGAATTCGCAGGAAACCGGAAGGCGGGTTTTCCGAAAACATCTAACAAAAAAAATATATATGAAAAATCTAACTTCGCCATCGAAAAAAGCACAAAAAAATACACAAAAAGGTATACTTTAAAAATGTTAGGAAATTAATCCTAAGCCTGAGTGTAAGTTCCAACTTGGTGATAAGCTTGCTTTTTGTTCTCTAATATCTGGTTTTTAGTTATTTACAAGAAAACTTGAAATGGGAGAAGATATACATATATGCATGACAAAAATACGTATTTTCCAGTTACGTTCCGAACTTTTTGAAAAAAATTGCAAAACAATTTTTTCTTAATTTCTCGTACTTTTTTCTTAATTAACTCGAAAACTGTTTCCATCAGATGATAGAGAGAAAAAAGACACGAAAAACTGTGGCATATACATTTTTTCTAGCATCCACGGTAATTCTCGCGAGAATTGAAGCTACTCGAATTTTCTGGCAATTGGGAGAGAAAGTAAGCTTGTTTCTCATTAAACTTACTGATTCTAATATATTTTCAGTCTGTAAAGTGCCCAAATTACGGAACAAATCAACAGTGTGCTTGTTTTTTCCCAAAAAAAAGGGAAAATGTTGGATTTAAGAAAAAACCACTCGTTTTACGAGCAATTTTCTAAGCACAAAAAATGCGTAGTTTTCGGTTATATTTCGAATGTCATAGGTCGCATTGCAAATCTGCAATAGTTCACCCTCTGCAAGTGTCTGATGACATAATAAACACAGGCCAGCCATTGCAACCTGGATACAAAAAATTATAGCACTGTGATAGAATTTTCTTAATTTAGGAACGTATTTAATCAATAAATTGCTGAAGAAGTTCGAAAAGCCACGTGTACACAGAGCTTGCTGGACACGGTTATTAAAAATCTATGCCGATGAACACTATCAAGCGATTCAATTTGTAAAAATATGACCGTTTGAAGTTTAAACTTGTCAGATAGCGAAAGCCGAGACCATTACTATCCTTGATGCGACGTTTTGAACAAAACACAAGAAACTTCTTATAACAAGTCAGTAAAATACAATTTAATAAATTTTAAGCCTAATAAATTTAGATATGTAAGAAATTTAAAACTGGAAATCGCAAAAAAAATCAAATTACAGTAATGTAGTGTATACACGAGTTTTGGATCCCGCGGACTTTTGTCTGGAGAATTCTACAACTTCGAAGAAACATACACACTTTAAACTTTGTATACACATTTAGAAGACATGAAATTTGGGTTTGCTTAATTTTCAGACCAAAAAACTAAAAATTGTCAATTTTAGGCAACTTTTCTCAAAAACCGTGTTTTTTGGTCGTCACTCAATGAACAGTGGTCAAAAAAATAGATAAAATATATTTGCAGAATTTTCCGTAATGTAATCGTATTCTAGACACAATAGAGTACTCAAAAAAAAGTTTTGAGCCATTGGGTGCATTTTTGTCATTTTTGTGCCACTTCAAACTTTAGAAAAAGGAAAAAAATGTATTTAATTGTTTTATATCTTAGCCAATTATGGTCCGATGTATTTGAAATTCACACACACATAAGATTTCACATTTAAGAGTAAGCTTTGTAAGTGGCATTAAAAAAATTTAAATAGTTTGGCCGTTATAGGCAAACAATGAAATTAGGACCGCGGTACACTTTGCCCTTCCACCATATGTCAAATTTTGGGATTTATCTTGCCCCCTTCCGGAAATCACTAGTCACATCCCTTAAGTTCAAAACGAATTTTTGTTTCTTCAGATATCTTAATTTTTACCAAAGTTATGAAGAATTTAGTGTTTGAACATTTAACAAATTCAATTTTTCGACCTTCGTCGCCTCAAAATACTAAACAAATTTCAATCGTCCATACCGCGAGAACGGTGCATCGGATCAAAATTTCTCAAGAGACATAAAAATTAACATTTTTCCTAAGCTTTCAAATGTCGTAAACTACGTTTTAAAAATATTGATTTATGCGCAAAATTGACAAAATCCAAAATTTCGGCACTTTCGAAAAACTGCTACATTTTCTTTTGCCTTTTTTCGAAAAGATCACCTCAAAATACATAGAATCTATTTTGTTTCATCTAATTACAATTTAATGTAAGCTCAAAACCCGTAATTTAATTCGATTATTTACAATAATGCAAATCGGTTTGATAAACCTTGTGGGGAATTTTATGCTCTTCGAAATTGCTTCAGAGTTTTTTTTGTGTAACTCGCACTGGTTTACCAGTAAGAGTCGTCAAAGTACAGTTTTTGAAATAATTTTTTTTTAAATTGTTTCGAGCAAACCGCCAAAAGTAGAGAGAAAAAAGCTGACGAATAAAAAGAAAGTTATCCAACCAATATTTAATGAAATTACAGCCATTTTTATACCTGAAAACTTAAGAAATTGATAAATACTAACTGATAATGTTATTTAGGTTAATTTTTTCTATTACCATATTTTTCCCTACACTAAAAACTTTCTCAGAAATATTATGATTTCTCACTCATAATGAATATAAGTTCGAAGAGCGTGAAATTCCCCACAAAGTCCATCAAACAGATTTGCAATATTGTAAAAGGTGGGTAAGCATTAGAAATTAAAAAAAAATATTTTTTTTTACATGCCTTTTAAATGGTAAAACTTTAAATTTAAATAGTAAGTACTTCAAATTGATATTAAGAGCTCAAACTTGGTGAGAATTTTTCTTTCTATATGTAGATTAATATTTTGCTTGAGCACCGAAAAAAAAAAAAAAAAATTGCCAAAATGAATCACCCTAATATACAGGGTGTTATTGAAATACACGTACATATTAAAACTGGGTATTGCGCAGATCCCCACTGAATGTAGAAAAATATTATTTTTTAAAAATACCCCTTATTAAGGGAGTTATTAATTTTTGAAAATTAATTCTAAAACAAACGTACTTCACTGATATGTTGAGGATGACCTATATAAATTAGGTTTATTTACCTATTTTAAACATCAACAGTAATTAATATGCAAGTTTTTGTCAGATGATAAGAAAACTAGTCTTGTAAGAAATAACCATGTTGCCAAGATTTTCGAATTAATTTCTATTTCCGAAGACTGGTTTTTACTACCCTCGTTATCAAAAAACTAGAATATTTGATAAATGATTGTTTTTAAACTATACATTTTTGAAACTATAGATTATTAAAATTTTAGACCTGTGTCATGTTAGCAAGTAGCCAGCCAGCAATAAATTCAGGTGGACGCCAAAACGCCAGCGGTCATACTAAATTTTTAACATCTAATTATTTTAAGTTCCGACAAAAAGAATATATTTAATCATAATTTGTTGCATTATAATTATTATAACCCTTTCATAAAATTATAATAAGGGATGTAGAGAGGGCTAAAGCTTTTATTACTAGCACAAAATTTGTGTTTGACAAAAATTTATTTAGGTCATTGGATAGATAATAAAAAAACAAAAAACTTTTTCAAATACCATTTTAAATGCTATATGGGTAAAAAGAGATTTAGAGGGCTTCGAAATTTCAAAGTTTTTATTGCTGAACCAAAATTTGTTTTTTTTGAAAATTCATTTAAGCCATTCGAAAGATAATAAAAAAACAAACAACTTTTTCAAATACCATTTTAAATGCTATATGGGTAATAAGATATTTAGAGAGCTTTGAAATTTCAAAGTTTTTATTGCTGAACCAAAATTTGTTTTTTTTGAAAATTCATTAGGGCCATTCGAAAGATAATAAAAAAACAAACAACTTTTTTAAATACCATTTTAAATGCTATATGGGTAATAAGACATTTAGAGAGCTTTCAAAGTTTTTATTGCTGAACCAAAATTTGTTTTTTTTGAAAATTCATTTAAGCCATTCGAAAGATAATAAAAAAACAAACAACTTTCTCAAATACCATTTTAAATGCTATATGGGTAATAAGAGATTTAGAGAGCTTTGAAATTTCAAAGTTTTTATTGCTGAACCAAAATTTGT